GGGCGCATACGCAGATGTGGATTTGTTGGGCCACGTGGTATCTGTTTAATTTTCAGAATAGCTTTATTGCAATGATGCTTGTGAGGTCAACGTGTGGCAACGTGTGGAAGTCAGCTCTCCTTCAGCCCTGTGGGACCTGGAGAATCGAACTGAGATGGTCAGGTACTTTTGCCCCCTGAACCATCCTGCTGGCCCATGTTTAATTCCGTGAGTCTCTGCTATTATTGTGTTCCGTAATGACTATACTCTTGTACATTCCCACCAGCAACGAACAGTGGCTATCTCTTTGTACCTTCGCTCCTGATTTTCTGATGTTAGCAACTAATTCGTGTTTTCCTTAAACTACTCTACTCAGTCCATGGCCCGGAACTAACCTGTCTGCTGCCCACCAGCCTCTGGCAGGATGTGTACTCCTTAATCTCCATCAGCAAGGAGTGACTCTAGGTGACAGCGGGTCAGGGTTGATGCCTACATAGCACATGTCCCTGGGTGGGAGCATGCCACTTTATTGTCTCTCCAGTGCAATGAGGTGATTCGCTAGTGCCATCCTAAGCAGACATTCACGTATCCCTTCTCAAAGTGAGTTTGATAGCAGCGTTAAAACAATACCAAAGGAAAAGAGAGCACTCTCTGTCCTTCGAGAATCTTGTCTTACGAGTATCCAGAACGCTCCGTCAACCCTGGAGAGCATATTTGAGGGAGAGCACACCATTTCTTTCTAATGTGTGTGCGTGTGAACTTTGACCAAATTCCATTAAGAGCTGAGACAACGTTCACTCTGCCTCTTTGTGCCAGTTCTTGGTTTCTTTTCACGACGAAGACTTGTATTTGTCACATTATCTGTAGCCCCGTGGTTTTCTAGCACAAGGTCGAATGATGGCTGTACAGTTTTGCCACAGTGTTAGCTGCCTTTCCTATCACTGTGACCAGATTCTTGACAAAAGGCAGGCATGGAGGAAAGGAGGGAGGGATGGAAAAGGGGAGGGAGGAAGGGAGGGAGAAAGGGAGGAAAGAAGCGAGGGAGGGAGGGAGCATTGTGGCTCACAGTTAGAGGGCACAGTCCATCATGGCAAGGAAGGATGGAGTCAGGAATTCAGGACAGCTGGTCACATCGAGTCCTCAGTCGAGAAACAGAGAGGCAGATGTTGGTACCCAGCAGGATTCCTCCTTTCCCTGCTTTCATTCAGTCTGAGACCACAACTTATAAACTCCTCTGTCCACATTCTGAGCTGGACTTCGATCCTCAATGATCCCCTCTGGAAAGGCCCTCACAGGCCTGCACTGGGCATCTCCTAGGCAATTCCAAACTCAGTCAAGTTGACGGAGAAGCTTACGCATCGCATCACAGCCACCTAAAGAAAATGTTAAAACCTAGAAATAAAACCTAGCAGCCCCTCATTTTTCTTGTCAAACAGATCAAACCTAGCTGCAGTTAACACTTTGTTCTACTCTATGGCGTCCATCTTGCAAAAAAAAAAAAAAAAAAGTTTGAGAGAGCACAAAGCACAGGGTTCCATTTAAAAGGGAAGACTACAAGAAGAATATATGCTTTCGGTTGCTGGGTGGTGGTTTCTGTCCCCCCTGGGATAATTATATAGAGAGCTGGACCACTTGAGATACACGGAAGAGCATCATAGATGACCGCGTGATTATCACATGCAGAAAGAGTCATTCTTTCTCTGGTTCTGGAAAGGCGAAGACGCAAATACAATTACCATACAATTGTTTTTCCTCACTGGAGGTTATTTATCGCTGGTTCTTTATCACTTCACCAGAAATAGTTCCCAAGTCATTCTGTGTGACGTGGGGGAGCCTCCTCACTGTGGTAAGGAAGAAGAGGGATAGAAGAAGGAGGAGAAAGGAAATAGAGAGGTGGAGTGTCTGACTAGGAAGCAGCTGTGTAGCAAGTGTTTCACGCATGCTACTGTAACCCAGCCTCATGATGGAGGAGCTCATTCCGTTTCACAGGAGAGAACACTAAGCTCAGAACGGTGAAGTAACTTGCCCAGCTAGTGAGTGCTTGGTCTGGTGTCCTAGCTTCTCTGTCACCGTGGTAAGACACTGACCAAAAGCAACTTGAGGCGGGAAGGTTCTGTTTGGCTTAGAAGTTACATTCCAGCCTCCAGGGAAGCCAAAGCTGGAGACCAGTGCAGGAACTTGAAACAGGAATCATAGGAGATGCTGCTTACTGGTCAGCTCGGCTATTTTTCTTACACAGCTGTGGTAGTGTGAATGTAATTGGCTCTCATAATCTCATGGAGTGGCACTGTTAGGAGGCGTGGCTTTGTTGGAGTGGGTGTGGCCTTGTTGGAGGAAGTGTGTCACTGTGGGGTGGGCTTTGAGTGCTCAGGGTACCACCAGTGTCTCAGTAGACTTCCTGTTGCCTGCAAGATGCAGGACTCTCCGCTCCAGCACCACGTCTGCCCATATGCTGTCATGTTCCCTGCCATGATGATAATGGACTGAACCTCTGAAACTGTAAATGAGCCATCCTCAATTAAGTGTTTTCCTTTGCCTCGGCCGTGGGTGTCTCTTCACAGCAATAAAAACCCTAACTCAGACAAAATCCCAGATCAGCACCACCATCAGCGGGCCAGTTCCTCGCACAGCAATGAGCAATGAGAAAATGTCCCACAGGTTTGCCCTCGAGCCAATCAGATGTAACAGTTCCTTAACTGAGCCTCCTGTGTGTGTCCAGTTAACAGCTGAAGATAACAATGGCATCTGAGATTTAAACCTCAGCCGAGTGGCCACCAGCTTTCCTGCTGAGATGCTTAGTAAAGTCCCCAGCCCAAGGAGAAAGCATGAGCATTGGAGATTCCCCAGATAATCTCCACTCCTGACCCCTTTTCTGTCACTTTCCTCTCTGAGAGGGGGAAATGCCTGGCGCTGCGGTGGATATAGGAGCAGCGACCTCAAATGGTTAAATCTGGTTTTGACAGCTACCAGCATCAGCAGCCAGACATCGAAACAGGGAGTAGATTTTAATACTTGCTTTAGAAAAGCTTTTATAAGCCAGCAAATTCCAAAAGCAACCCCAAACAACATGTCAGCCACCCACCCTTGCCTAAACATACCAATCGTCTGCAGGAAATAGCTAGCCTTATTAGTGACACCTGTTAGCTCTTGCCAGCTGTCGCAGAAATGGTCTCACTGGAGCAGGCACTGTCTTCAAAGAAAAGAAACAGGATTCCAGGCGGAGTGCCCCATCTTCTCACCCAAAATGCTTTGGGTTAGCGTTAGGGGTAGATGACTCTGCTGAGCAAGGGAATGTTTGGTGTGATCAGCCGTGGGACTCTGAAGATAACATCTACTCCACCTCGATCTCTTTTTCATTTTTGAGGTCAGAATCTCAAGTAGCCCAGGCTAGCCTTGACTCACTATGTAGCTTAAGATGTCCTTGAACTCCTGCCTTCACCATGTGCCTCCTGCCTCAGTACCAGGGGATATCTAACCCATTACCAAGATAACCTGCTTCACTTGACATCCCAGCTTTAAAAAAAAAAAAAATTCAGAAAGAAGTGTGCTTTACTTTTAATCAAATATGACCTCACAGCCCTCACTAACGTCCTTCCAGGAAGCAGTTTGGTGTGGAAGAGGAATCCTAAAACCAAACAATGCACTATGACTATGCTGGTTTTTTGGATGTCACCTCAAACCTATATTTATGGTTATATACTCCAGGAAAGTGCTTGCCAAGCGTTCATTTCCCTCTAAACACTGCTGTGAGTAGCGGCAATGTTTGAATACTTACCAAAGTTCTGCTTTGTCTGGCCTTGCAGCCACGCCCCTGCCCTGCAAAACTGAGTGCATGTGCTACCCCACTGCTTCAAAGCCTTTGGCGCTACAAAGTTTCCAAGTGGAGGGTGGGAACATACTTGACCATTTCCCCAGTGCAGGGCCAGGTTCACCATGGCACCTTCACAGTTGGAGTGAACACAATCGAATTGCGGGGCTTTGTCCATGCAGGCCGTTCATTCCATTAAGTTTACCTTACAAACTCAAAACGATATGAGGTTCATTTATAAGACCGAGCTCGTCAGTTAACTCAAATTTACAACCCAGATATTCATCAAAATTATCCCTTTAGGGGTCTTTATATTAGATTGGGCTTTATGTAAATGTTATCAGATTGTAATGCCTAGAGAAATGCCCTTCAGGATCTGCTCAAGACCAGTCTTTACCTTGGCAAAAACTGGGTTGGGATGTGTGCAGAGCTGAAGGGATATATACACATGTAAAGATATGCATAATAATGTTTGGTCAGTGATATCCCCATGTATGACTCTTTTAAACAGTATGGCTTCCTGGAGTTGTCCCCATCTTGGTATGTGTGCTTGTGTGCACACTGCTGCTCAAACACCAGTGATGTCACCTAACTGCATTAGGTGGCACATGAGTGTAATCTGGTAAGGTCTTCTGACTTCAGCAGTGGAGAGAGTATTATGAACAGGAATACATCCTGCAGTATCATGATGCTTCAGCATCATTTAAATTTGGGGTGTCCCCTCTCCCCTCCCTGTCTTCTCGCCCGTACCCTGCCCTCTCTGTCTTTTACACCATTAGAGATGGAACTCAGGCCTTACATATGCTGAGAAAGCACTCAACCACTGAGCTGTGCGTGACAAATTCAGAAGATTTTTAATCAGTCCTGCAGGTTTTTGTAAGCCCAGGTACCCGTTTGTACGAATGAGACTGTCACAACAGTAAATCGTGCACACGAGGACTTGGGAAAACCAGTAGAGCAGCCTGGCCCCGCCCATCAAGAGTTCCCCTTCCACTGCATGTCTTATTGCTAGTCCTTTTGATTCATGAGTGTGAACCACTTTCATGGCTCCTGACCATAGCTAAGATAACAAGAGCTTGTCCTCTGTCCCTAATAATAATTATGCTTCGTATAATTATTATTGCCATCCTCTGTCCTCAATAGAACGGTGTCTGGACCCACTCCCCAAAGGTCTACTCTTTCCTTTCCCTCAACCACATTTTCTCTTTTGCAGATTGGATTTGAGGCCCCTTCTCCCCAGGGACAGGCATCAGCCTCAGGGAGTGGCGGTGGGGTTGACTCTGAGCCATCTCGACATGTCTTCTCCTTCTCCTGGTTGAATTCCCTGAATGAATGATTTATTCTGGCTGCTGCCCCCTGGCAGTCTGGGTGAGATGCACACCAGGCTTTGGGGAACTTCCATGATGCATATGAATGGGACCTCTGGACAGGATTTCTGAGAGAGAGAGAAAAAATAAACCTTCAATTCCAGATGACTTGCCTAACTTGTCGAGAAAAAAAAAAAAATTGCAGAAGACACTGGTATAAAGAAACCTGATCTTATGCAAAACTTTTGTTACGTGGTAAACATTCTGAAGGTTGTGTAGGTGTGGCGCATGTGTGTAGCACAGCTGTAAGTGATAAGTATTAACAAAGTGGGCACTACACTCATCTCCTGTGGGCACCGGCTTCTTGTTAGTTTAGCACAGGTGTTTTTTTGCTTTTCTCCTTAGCATTGCAGATGGTTGGTGACATTCAGTATCAGTACAGAACTGACCGATTTATCAAAATATAGGCACAAGATAGGTCATTGACCAAGGCTAAGAAGGGCTCTGCGGAGCTTCCTCCTTTCTACAGAGGTCACTGGATGTGCAGTCAGAAGTATTCTTTGAATTTGGTCACACTTCTATAGTCCAGAAGGCCAGTGGCTTAGGGCATGTCTTTTGGCATTTTCTAATCCCAATCACTTATCTTATAATGTTATATTCATATACTGGGCATTTGATCGAAGACTTTCTGGGAGGAACTGTCTACTTTCTAATGTGGCCACCGTAGCAGAGAAACTGTGGAGCAACTGCACACGTATTTAAATATATACACAACCCCATATCTATCTATCAGCTATCATCTCTATTATCTATCAATCATCTATCAATCATCTGTCTATTAGCTATCTATCATCTATCACTGTGATATGCCTTCCTCACGTAAGGGTAACTTTGTGGACTCTTAAATAAATGTTTGTTTTTAAAAACCTTAGCTTCCTAATGATTTATTCAATTACTCATATTGTTATTAAGCCAACCATCAAGCATGTTTCAAGGGACTCCAGAGAAGTACCATCTTCATTCATATTAATTAATTTTAAAGTACTAATCGTGGGGCTGAAATGCTTAAAGTGGTAAGTAAATTACTAAAGGCAAATACATTGTCAAACTAATTAGATGTGCTGTTTAATTTTAGAAGCAAATAGCATAGTCCTACAAGTCACAGTTATTAGGATTGCAATAGGGACAAATATGAAGGACATTTGTGTAGCTGTTAAAACTAAAACGTTCTTTTTCAGAAAAATTTCCCAAGTGCCCTTTTCAGCAAATATGTTTAGTTACTTGAAGTGTTTGTGTTATTAAGCTTCATCTATCTAAGGCTGGTGAGGTATTTCAACGGGCAAAGACATTTGCCTCTGGGCCTGGGGACCTGTGTTCCATCCCTAGGACTCACACGATGGGAGAGAAGTGACTCCCCTAGTCCTCCTCTGACTGTCATACATTTGCCATGATGCATGCCTGCCCCCCCCAATCCCTGCCCACTAACTAATTATGCCTGCATGTTAATTTCTACTGTGACTGATCTTCCAGTTGCAAAAGTATCAGGTTTTACAGGCTGGAGGAACCTCTAAAATTGTTTAACTCAATCTCAGAAGAGAAACCTGAGGTACAGAGAAAAGGCCAGGACAGTCCCATAATCTGTGTGAGCGACTTGACAAGCGTTTTCGTTTTTTAGGAGAAAATAAGATGTAGGAGGTTTGTTGTTGTGTTTTTATTTCCTTGTGCTGGGATCATTCCTACATACACACCGAAGAGGACAAATAAAATCACAATGACCTTTGCAGATTTTATTTAAAAATATAAATATTCAACGTTCTCGTACACGACCAAACTGACCAAGGACTGGAAAGATGTTTTATTATTGAAACATTTGCAAGAAAAAGTTGATTCGAAGAGCTTACACATTTCTTCCTGGTCACCTCTCGAGAATGAATTCTCTTCTGCTGTGATCCCCCCCCAAAAAAAAAACAAAAACAAACAACCGGTAACTTCCATATGCCTTCCAAAAAGCTTTCCTCCTTGGGTTCACATTTTCCTTAAAATACCGATATAAGGACCATGTATTTGCACATGGAAAATAAGCATGAACAATTCAAATAACACTGTTTTGTTACTGCACAGAAATACGCTTTGTGCATGCTAAGGGGTGTATAGACTCTCTCCCTGTACATAGTCTATGCTTCAAGCTATATAAAAATAAACGAATGATGTCAGAGCTGCGGTATGGTACAGAATACTGTGTTTGAAACTTTTTTTTTTTATTCTTACTGTTATGCTAAATGCAGAATCGCTTTGGCCAAACGCACCATTTCATTTCCCAATAATCTCCATCAGTTTCCTGTTGCTGTGAGCTTGCTGTGCTAACTGCTCTGCCCTGGCCATCTCCAAGACTTCCCGCAGAAGGTGGAAGGTGAGATCCAGAGAGATGGGCGGCTCCTCGGACCGCCTGTCCCTCTCCAGCGCCCCCTGCTGGCCGCCGAGGGTGTCCTCGGCGCCGCGCTCCGCCGGCCCTGTGCGGCTGTCGAGCGAGCGCTGAGGCGTCTGCAGCTGCTGCAGCAACACGCGGAAAAAGTTAGCGGCTGCCGGGTCGTGCGAGGGGCGGCTGCCGCGACCCGCGGAGAGGGCAGAGGAGTCGGGCGACAGCCGAGCAGCGGGGCTCCGGTTGAGATTCCCCAGGCGGAGGAAGTATTCTTCTCCCATGCGGATCAGAACCGGCTGAGGCTGCTGGGGCTGTTCTGGCTGCAGGAAATTCAGGGGCTGCGGGGACCGCGGGGCGCCGGGGACGGGTCCCCTGCTCAGCAGGGCCCTGCATGGAGGGCTGGGCGACAAAGCCACCAGCAGGACGCCCGCGGACACCAGTAGCCGCAGCCGCATGTTAGGGGCGCTCGCTGCAGCACGGAGGTGAGGGAAAGCGGGAGAAAGAAGGTGGGAAAGAGAGGGCAGACTGGTTAGAGTTTAGCTCAGCTGGGAGGTGCACCCAGGTTTTGTCTGACACCCACAGACAAGCCAGGCGCTGCATCGGTGGCGCTGTCCGCGGTGCTGAAGCCAGGTGCCCGCAAGACTCATCTGCCAGCCAGCGGGTGACCCGTCTTTGGAGACCTAGGAGGGACAGCCCCTGACTCCTTCCTGAGGATCTCCCAAACGAATTCCCCAAACGGACTTCCCTGAGCCTGGAGAAGCGCTACAGGTTTAAGCTCTCGCCCGCCCTGCTCGCCCTCTTTCGGACAGTCTTTTCTTCCAAATTGAGAGCTACATCCTCCCTGTCTCCATCCCTGCCCTCGCTCCCTTTGCCTGCAGGTCCCGGATGGGCGTGGGATGGGATGGGGGAGCCATTCTTTACACAGACTGTGAGCAGTAAGTGGCAGATTGGGTAGATAAGGATGAGCAGCCGTCTAACTTTGCTTTTTGCCACATCACCACTGCCATTGGAATTTTAAGGCGCAGTTGGAGACACACACGCACAGGCACAGGCACAGACACTCCGGCAAAGGGGCAACAACTGGCTCCGGGGCTCACCACAGTAGCTCAGGCAGCACAAAGTTGGTGGCACCCGTCTAGGAGCTGCCTACCTTCTCCTCCCTTGGCAGGTGAGTCCGCGCTGCTGCTGCCTCTGCAGAGGGACCTCTCCTGGGATGCTTCTTGCAGGATCTCTTCCTCTTCTCCTTTCTCTTCTCCCTTTCTTTGCCTCTTCCCGTTCTCTTCAGTCTCTCAACGTACTTGGGCTCTGAGTTTCTCCACACCAGAGCCTGGAGTGAGGTTTTATAACGTCGACCCTCTTCAGAAAGCACGCAGCATTTGCCTAATAAGCTGACACTCTCTTGACAGCTCGATTGCGTGCTGCCTCTGCTCCTGCATAAATCATAGGGCCCTGCCAAGGAGCGAGGGACAGAGTTCTGCTATTTCAACACTGAATCTCACATCCAATTATATCAACAGATATTTATCGCCTCCTTGGTGACGTCAACGAGCCCTAAAATGGAAGGGCTTCTTATGACTTGTCCATTGACAAAAATTCTTGAATGAGATGATCCAAGTGTGGAAAACATACTGACCTCTTACTATGATAGGCCAGATAAGGACCAGAAATGGGACAGAGACGGGGAGAGGAGACAAGAAGAGATAGGGAGAGAGGTCCATCAACGCAGTGCTGCCAAGAAAATACCCACCATTAAGAGGGCAGGCCTGGACATCCCCGCATGCTTCACCACCCCCACCTAACTTTTATGTCAGGCTGTCCTCTCGAGAAACATCTCAGAATCTGAAATACATCTTTACTATGCCCCCCAACCATCTTTCTTCCTGGAGGAGAATGGAGAGCCAGGGGAGGGTGGTGTACGGACAGCCAGGTTTTAGCTTTTAACCACTTAGTCCTCCCAAGAGCAGATAAAGGAATTGTGAATCTGAAGAAAGGCCAATCAGTTCCTTTTGGAAACCCAGCTCAGTGTTTTTCTTAACGAGAAAAGAGCTATTCTAACAACGAAGGGCACAAACACAATTGTAATAAAGACCTCAGGTTCAACTCAATCTCGGGCCTCCTGTGGGTCTCCTCTCAGAATCAAGTTAATCAGGACTTTCCCCCTGAGAAGACCACGGAAAGCTGTGTGCACTAAACAATCTATTCTGAGTCTACACTACAAACGGGAGGAGGGAGCATGCATTCCAAATCGTGTGTTGAGAGCTTGGGGGGGAAATCAGTTACGGAGTCTGTAACAAGATGTTTTGTTTCACCTCCCCATGCTGTGAAATCATGATAGTGTGTTAAGGAAGGCACCCTAGCTCTTCGGTGTTTCTCCCAGATTCAAATGTGCACCAGGAGTGCCATCAATAATTGCTGCCTGACACTATTACCGAATGGAATGCCGTACCTACCAATCCACTCTCAATTTTTGAGTTAAGTGGGTATTTTAACTAAGTGGGAAGCAGTTACCTTTAATCCTGCAATTCACCATGCTCTTACAAACTCGTGGGTCTGAGATCGCTTCACAAACACCACTGTTGTTTATCCAAAACTTCCTGTTCCTTTGCCATTTTCTCTGTAAATAATGGGACAGATAATGCTGCAGATTTCAACCTTTACTGGGGCCTGTACTAATCTATAACTGCTCTAGAAAAACACTGAGGGTTTCCAGAGAAGTC